AGGCGCTAAGATGACCTCCAGGGTCATCAGTGACTAGGATTTGTTGGAAGTCAGGATCAAAGTCACTGGGAGAATGGCCTGGGAAAGTTGTTAGTATTCAGGAATTTGTACTGGCCTGTCCTAGGGGTTCTCACATGCTATACCCTCAGATGCAGCCACTAAGAGTGCCACCTGTGTACATTCACTACGTTCCCTTTTAAAAGGGCTCTGCCCACCTCCCATCCTCTTTCTCTCTCTCCCCCTCTCTCTGTTTCTGTGTTTTTCTCTCTCTGTTTTTCTGTCTGTCTCTTTCTCTGTCTGTCTCCTTCCCCCACACACACACTGTTCCAGTCCCTGGAGGCCAGTCCCAAGCTCCCCTTTCCCCTTTTTATGACCCCTTCCCCTAATAACCCCTCCATTTGGGCTCTGTCAAATGGCATCTTTCTCTCTCTTGACCAGAAGTCAAGACTACAGAGTGCAGCCACAAGAGAATGCCTACCTGTGCTTTGAATTGTGTACTGGCTACTTAAAAATGAACACTTTCCAAAAATTAAGGTATACATTATAGCTTGTTTTGTGTGTTATAAGCAGTAAAGCATTCATTTTTTTCATGGTTTAATTCCTCAAACATTTAAATAGAATGAGAGCCAGGAAATAAATGAAACACAGTGAGGGATTTTTTTCTTCCTTACAGTGAAAACATGGCCAAATACATGTTTGTTTTATTTATTTTATTTTATTTTTTTGAGTACAGAAAAATAACTTTGGGGGCGCAGGGGTTAATGTATGTGTTCATGTGGATCTGTGCACAAGTGTGTGTGTATGTGTGTGTGTGTGTGGTATATGCACCCGTTTTATATGTACACACCCATATGTGGAGGCCTATAGACAACTTGAGCAGTCTTCCCTGATTGCTTTTTTTTTCCCCTGAGACACTGAACCCGAGGTTCATCAATTCAGCTAGACTGGCTGGCCCAGGGGCTTTAAGGCTCTGCCAGCACTGGGGTTACAGACACAGCTGCCCCAGAAATCAGGTCCTCAGGCTTTGTGCCACAGGCACTTTACCAACAGAGCCACCTCCCAGCCCAAGAACTTTTTCTAAAGTGCACAAAACAGGATAGTGTTGGAGAAATGTTTCAATTACTTTGTAAAATAGTGTACGCTAGAGAAATAATTTATAACATCAGGGATGGAATTTCCATGTAGTAAGACTACAATAGTTTTTATAAGCCACACAGAGTTGTTCTTGAGGCTCAAAATTTTGAGGCATTAAAATAAAAACAACTTTTATGCATTAACCCATATACTTTCCTAAGTATATGGGTTTATACTTAGGAAAGTATTATTATGAAAGGCATGGGGTAGAGAACATATTTGACTGAGTTTTAATTGGTCCAGCCCAAATCTAGAGCAGATACAGGCTACATACTATCTTCGTAGGACCCGCAATGAATCAAAAAACCTAAAGGAGTTTTTGTTTCTGTTTTGACAAGGTCTCATTATGCAGCCCAGGCTAACTTCCAGTCTGCTATTCATCTACCTCAGCTCTCAAGTACTGCTTAGTATGGCTATCTGCTTAGTATGGACATATAGCACTATGCCTAGCTTATTCTTAATTTTATAATTTTTTAAAAATATCTAGACTTCACCAGGCATCGGTGGTGCACACCTTTAATCCCAGCACTTGGGAGGCAGAGGCAGGTGGATCTCTTATTCATCATATACTGAAACTTCACAGAGGCAATTTCTTTACAATATAGAATTCTTTGACATGGCTTACTCACTATTCTAAGAGAAAAATATTAAAGACTCATCAATTTTGCCCTCACTTACACAGCCTGAAGGTGACCACTTAAACATCTAGCTATTTTTCCTAACTGAAAACAAAATGCATACTTGTGATTTTTAGGGAGATGCTTGTTTCCTTCCCTGTTCTTTTTTAGTACTGATGTTAACAACTAGGACCATGAAACAATCTGAAATGAAATGCAAAAATTCTTCTACAATGCCCTTGCTGAGTATTAAAACAACATTAATATGTAAAATGTTAGGAGTCTAACTCACTAAAGTCTCAGAAGTGGTTATTGAAGGACCATCAGCACAGTTCTATGCCCACAGAGCGATACAGGCAATAACTTACCTATTTAGGAAGAAAAGGGGAAAAGACCAAGGACACAGGAAAACATTGGCATGAAGGCCACGATTTCTACCAAGACTTAAATAGGCGCAGAAGAACTAGGGACCCAGCAAATCTGCATCTTACTAGCATGGAACACACTGTGAAACCGCACCCAAAGGAACATCCGGAAATTTCAAATAATGCCAGGAGCTCACCACAACAGTACAAGGTCACCATAAACAGTGCATTCAACCTTTAGTTCAGAGAACTTATTTTCTAGATAAGTTAGATAAAATAAAACTTATTTTCTAGATAAGGCTAGATAAAATGCACAGGACAAAGTCTATTGTTGTTTCCATGCCAGCCTGGTCTACATAGCAAGTTCCAGGCCAGCTAAGGCTAGATACATAGTGAGAGCCTGTCTCAAAAATACATAATAAATAAAATTAATCCATGATAAAAGAATGCAGAATGGTATCAGCAAGCAAGAAAAGAAAAACCAACCTCTCTGAAAAGGAACATCATTAGGCCCAAAAGTCAAACAGGGAAAATGGCA